GGGTGTGTCTGTGAGCCATACTAGTTTCGGAGAATTCCACTCCTCATCAGTGACCCCGGACACTACCACCAACTTTATTGCGAGTGTAAAACATTTAAATACACCAGTTCGATTTTCGATACCCCACTACTATAAAGGCTTGGTTTGGTCTCATATTTCATTGGTGGTAATGTCCAGGGTCACTGATGAGGAGCGGAATTCTCCAAAACTAGTCTGGCTCAAAGACACCCCCCCCCAATGAATGAATAGACCGTTCCAAGCTTTTACTTGTTGTTAAATAAATGTTTAAACAACTCTGTTTATTCAATTATGTACTAGCTGCCCAGTGTCGGCTAACAATACGATGAATTAAATTGTAGTGAAATGTTACAAATTCTTCAAATACCAATAGAATGATAGGTTTCTTTTTTGTGAGTGTAAAACACTTAAATACACTAGTTCGACTTTAGTGATTTGTTTTCTACCGATTGTCTATTCCAATTATTGAAAAGTAACAGTCTTTCACATTAATTTAACACGCATTTAAACTCTTCCGATAATAGTAGGGTTTATGAATGCCCTTTCAAGAGCATATACACAGTTTTTTAAATATACTGTCAATTTCAAAGTTTTAATTTTCAGATATTAATTTCATTAAAAACAAGAATGGAAATTGTTACGAGCGTTCTCAGATAAAGTGTATCAGTTGTATAAATGAGCATAACTGCGTGCGCGCACACACGCACACACAAGGTGAGCCGACAAACAGTGGTCAAGGATTTAGTCATTTCCCCATGTCCACCAAAGTGGTGGTAGGCTCAGAAGTAATCCTGTACAGTTAGATATATTAATCATCCAGGAAGATGAGACTTCTTCTATCAAAAATTTTTTGGTTTATTTTGTTTTTATCCTGTCAATACAAAACGGCACTGCGCGTTATGTTTCACACCGAACGTGAATTTTTTTAATCACACAAATCCATCTTACGGTACAAAAGCTGTTAAAAAAATGGGTTTTTAAACTGGAAATGTTTCTATGCAGGTGAAACAAATAACGCATCTATCTTATAAACCTAAACAAAGGAACCGTTATAAAGAGCAGATCTAACCTGGGGGGTGAGGCCCGCTCAGGTTCTTCCTCTTCCTTTTTGGGAAAGGTCATCGTTGGTGGTGGAACTTCGACTGAAATAGGAGAGAAATACTGTAAAAAAATCCATAATTATGCGTGTCGTATACGGGATATTTTCCATATAGATTATTATCGATGGTTCCATCTTTTATTTTACGGAGTATACTTCCTTAACCTGTAAATTCACTAAATTATAATAATTCTGTACATCATAATACAAAATGATTACTTGCCTAAACATTCACATTTTCTGAAATAAAGCTCCATGCGGCATATATATCAGATTTTGTTTATATACCTTAAAAACTTAGAAATCAAATCATTTTACACCCCCTAGCATAATTTAAAGTAGGTTAATACATGTTAATGTTTGATTGAGCAAAAAACTTCGCAGTCTAGTTTCAAAATAAAAAATGAGAAGGGCGAATTTTCTTCCCCATGAATTTAGATTTAAAAAGGTATCCTTAAAATATTTATTAGTGTACTATATTATCCATTAGTGTACTATATTCTCCGTTAGTGTAGTATATTCTCCATTAGTGTACCATGTTCTCCATTAGTGTACTATATTCTCCGTTAGTGTAGTATATTCTCCATTAGTGTACCATGTTCTCCATTAGTGTACTATATTCTCCGTTAGTGTAGTATATTCTCCATTAGTGTACTATATTATCCATTAGTGTACTATATTCTCCGTTAGTGTAGTATATTCTCCATTAGTGTACCATGTCCTCCATTAGTGTACTATGTTCTCCAAAGCATCTATAGCATTTAGGCCTCGTTTTTTAAAAAATACTGAAATCATATTTTTACCGTTAAAACTAAATTGTGAGTTTTGTCAAGTGCGTTAATTCATTAATGGTTAGTTTCAATATCGTACGTTGCTTGTGGCTGATAGTAAATTAATTCCTCCAAAAGTTTCACCAATTTCTGGGTTTGAAAGATAACGTTAGGATGTTGGCGTTGTCAAGACATTGTCTGAAATAAACGAAATACAGATTTACGATGTGATTTTTTACTCTGTTTAGCGTATACGTGAATATTTTGTCCTGTATCACTAGTGCTGCCACTAACAACACTTTTGTATAATATGTGAACCATTTTAATTTAATTTCATTTAAACATGAAACAAAAAAACTTAATTTTAATCTCGGAAAAGACACAATTAAAAATTCTATATAGGAATATATATTTAAAAAATGATATATTTACTGAAATAATTCAATGTAGAGATGTCGCTTGTAACCTTGACAAGTGCGTAAACCCATGTATCTTTAAGTTTTTTTATTACGGCTTGGTTCTTAAATTTGGTTTGTCATTACTTAGCCTCAGTATTAGAATTTTGATATGTTATTTTAAGATATTTACTGTTCTTGAAGAAAACATGTCTATTTGGCGTAATTTCATGTTTTAATAGTAATAGCATTTATGTAATACTTGGGTGCTTTTGGATAACTTTGATTTTGTTTACCCCCCCCCCCCAGCAGCACAGCGGTATGTTTGCGGACTTATACCGTAGAAACCGGGTTTCGACACCCGTGGTGGACAGATAGCCCATTGTGTAGCTTTGTGCTTAATTCCAAAAACAACAACAATTTTGTTTCATGTTATACATTAGGCTTAGTATATATATGTTATAGTTACCGTACTTGGAAATTTGTACTTGTGCTTAACTGAGCAAATGTATCGATTCAAGCGTAGTCAATTTCAGTCCTTGTCAAAATTTCTACAGACTTTGTAATGTCCACAGTACGGTATGTTCTTTTGCCTGTCCTGTCTTGGAAAGCGCCTTTCCATATAAGAATTTCGAAATACTCAAACCTCATATTACGTGCTCATTTCGGTGTGGAATATACATATTCATGATTCTCCTATCATATTTATTACTACTGTTTACGTTTTAGGAACACCCTTTAAATATCTGTTTTCAACAATTGTTTTCATATTCTAGGATTAAACTATAACTACCAGTCACTTTTGGGTTTTGTGTGGCTGCAAATGGAAATGCTGTACGCAGAAACTTACAGAGACTTCATTCCAGGCCCATTGCGTATTACTTGCATATTTCTGTTTTTTCCACATAGCATACCGATCTAAAATTGTTTCATCTATGGAGTTTTTCCAATGTTTAGTCTATGGTTAGAATGTATTTTAGATTTTACCCCAAGGTTTCACGTATATTGTAAAATTGAAAGAGTACTGAAACTTACAGAGACTTCATTCCAGGCCCATTGCGTATTACTTGCATATTTCTGTTTTTTCCACATAGCATACCGATCTAAAATTGTTTCATCTATGGAGTTTTTCCAACGTTTAGTCTATGGTTAGAACGTATTTTAGATTTTACCCCAAGGTTTCACGTATATTGTAAAATTGAAAGAGTACTGACACTTTCAATAATTTACGTTACCAGCTAGTCAGACATCTACTTGTTATTACTTTTTCATGGTATGCTGGTTTAAATGTATTTAGTATCAGGTGTATATAATAACCTAACCAAACAGCTGTTTAAAATTGAATCCAATGAAAAATGAGATTTTGTAGCATACTATTTAAAATATGATTATATATACCAAACCATGGCTTTATTTTAAAATCAAGTTTAAACTTCTGTGCTTTGTGTTTGATAATCTTAATTTAATTTCTCTACATTACAGTGCTTTACAGACATACAAGTAGTTTTTAGTGTTACACAAATATACTAGAATTATGAAACGTTTTCTTTGAATTGTCAATTTAAATCCAAAAAGGTGGAAAGAAGTTTCTAAAGGAAAGAAAAAAGTGTCTTCCATTTGGTCAATGGTTCAAACTTTTATCAACAAACTAGCATATGAACCGTTAAATTCTTAACCCTTTACTTCACTTACCAAATACGTAATGTTATGAAATTTGCTAATTTTGTTTTTGACGGATGTTTATTGTGGAATTGGTTTATGATTTTATAATTATTGTAATTGTTAGTTACTGACACACTGCACTTATGCTGGTATAAGAACGAAATATGACATTAAGCATTGCAATGTTCAAAATGTTTCTAATTATAAAATTGAATGATGTATGTCTGAAATATGAAGTTTATTACATCTTCCCACAGTTTAACTTTATATACATTTTCAACATTTTAAGTTGTGAAATAAAATTAATTTGTTAACTTGTGACTGTTGAAGTATTTTAACTTCAGAGTTATAATTCAGTTCTTCTTCATGATCTATACTTCCTGTAAATAAATAAATAAAAAAGCTTAATCTATCTTCATCATGAATATTAAAAATACGTTATTTTATTCTTCTTTAAGTTTACTGTTTGTTTTTAAGAACAAAAAACATTAGGCTATCTGCTGTGTCAACCGCAGAGAATCGAACCCCAGATTTTGGCGCTGTAAGTCAGAGACTTGCCGCTGTCTCACCGGGGGATTACTCTTCTTTAAGTATAGCTATTTAAGAAGTATGGGTGCACAATATAAATTTAATTTTGTCTCTTTTAAACTTTGCTCAAAGAATAACTGAAAATCACACAACTAAAGATGTCCCATATATTCTTTCTCTTTCAACATTTGTGGTTTTATCTGTCGGGTAATTTTTCCGAGCATTCATTGTCAGTGAAATTGAAGCCGTCAACAAATACTTTACCTTGTGACTGGCAGATTGACGTTATCCCTAACATCAAGAAAACAACAAACTAAAATTTGGAAACACTATGAATAAGAAAAACTGAAAAGTATAAATTTACTATTTTCAATCTTTCATATCTCAGGTTTTCAATAATGTGACGTAGGCGAAGCTTACTTAGGATATCCCATAATGTGGTCCACTATAAAGATAAGCCTACTTATATTGCTACTAGCAACTAATATAGGTATTATTTTAAATAATATAATCATTACTATTCGATAACGAAATATAAAACATTCTGTAAGAAAGCAGGAAAACGTACTATTTCCGCAAGAACTCTGACAGGGTACTATTCCGTAAAAATCATGATTTACTAATTTCCAATTCCAATAACCACAGCCACGTCCATTGCAGGGAATCGAACTTTAGCGTTGTAAGTCCGTAAACATCAGGCAGCGTGTACAGAATCTGGTTATGTCACCTGAGTAGCTTATCTCTTAGTAAATGTTGATACGTTACCTGGAAAAAAAGTTTTAAAAGCGGTAAAAAGTACAAAACTCACCCACGTCAAACGACACGTATTCATATCCATCAACTTTGTCCATGAGTTCCACGGGTGGTGCTGTAGGTTCCGGTTCATCGTCAATGGCATCTGGTGGTGGAGTAACTTAATGGAAAGAAAATAAAAAACAGGTGAAAAAAAAAAGTCAACTTTAACATACTTTACTTCTTTCAGAAACATATTTAGACTATTCGGTCAAACAGAGACAGGGTCTGAAATAAAATATTAATAGTGAAAAAAAAATACGAGAAAGCCAAATGTGAGGTATTAGATAACATTTGTATTAAATTGTTGAATTTCGCGAAAAAAAGCTACTCCAGGGTTACCTGCGCTAGCCATCCCTAATTTTGAAGCGATAGACAACTAGTTAATTCCAGCCACCGCTTGGGCTCTTCTAATCGAATAGTGGGACTTAACCGTCACTCTTATAACACACACACACACGGTTCTATAATGCGAATCGCTTTGTGTGTTTGTGCGTGGTAACAGGGCAAGAACTACGGAACCTACGGTACACAGCCTAGCACGCTAACCACCGGCTGTCTCTCGAGTCCGTTTAATTTACCCAAAGCTCACTGAAGTAAAGAACAGTATTGAACGACCGTAAGAGGTGTTCCCGAAGATGTAATGCAAAACGTGGAGTTAATACAACAACTGTTCCTTAAATTTCATGATTGGTTAATACTGTGTATTAGATAATCTATATATATAAAAGAGAAAGTTTGTTTATTTGTTTATTTTGTTCGCTATA